CGGCTGCGACACGACGGCCTCGGCAGCGAGACCGTTGGCTCCCACTGTGGTCGTCAGTTTGTTTTTGTCAAAAGTTGATTTTGTTATGGAATTCATTATATCTTCGGTCGATTACAACAAATTCGAAAGAGATAGTCTTTTTATAAGACTTCTTTTACACAACAAAATGAAAATTACAACTCTTGAGAAAATAACATAAAAATCGTCTATCGATTCTTGTTTTGTGGGACTTTGCCTGTGCCGGGAGCGCTTTGACTCGTGGACCACCAAATCACAGATCGTGAGGGGTTTAGTGATTCTTCCTTCGTTTATCGAAGTGAGAATTTAAAACGAAGATCTTATCAAAGTAAGACGATCATTCTTCTTAAGATCAAGTCAAAGCTCGAATCTCAAGGAATCCCAAAGTTGCTGTTTGCACTCGAATTTGATGAAGACCCTCTCTCTTTTGAGAAGAACGCCCTAAAATGCTCCCCCCCTTTTTTGTAACCACTGCCCCACTATTTAAATACCATCTTTTTATGAAGTTAGTGGGGGTATTTTCAGTTTGTAACTGTCTCCCACGTTCTTTAACAGTGAATGGCAGTTTCTGAACTCCTTAGGACTGTCTGGCGTACGAGACAGTAAAACACTGTCTGGCGAGAACAGTAAAACACTGTCCTGACGCGAGACAGTAAAACACTGATCCTGGCGAGACAGTAAATAACGACTATCTGGCGCGATGACAGTAAAATCAGTCTGGCAGAGACAGTAAAACACTGTCTGGCCGGAGACACGGTATAAACACTGTCCTGGCGAGACAGTAAAACCACTGTCTGGCGTGAGACAGTAAATACACTGTCTGGCGAGACAGTAAAACACTGTCAGCGCCGAGATCAGTAAAAACTGTCTGGCGAGACAGGTAAAACACTGTCTGGCGAGACAGTAAAGCACTGTCTGGCGCAAGACAGTAAAACTCTATCTGGCGAGATAGTAAAACACTGTCTGGCGCGAGACATGTAAAACACTGTCTGGCACGAACAGTAAAACACTTCTGGCGTGAGACAAGTAAACGCTGTCTGGCGCGACAGTAAACACACTGTCGGCGCGAGACAGTGAAAACACTGTCTTAGCAGATAGTAAACAACCGTGTCTGGGCCCCGAGACAGCAAACACTTGTTTCTTGTGTTCTTTTGATCCTTTGGATGATCTTCCTCTTAAGTGTATTGATATCTTTCAGCTTTTTTTGACACTATACAGCGGTCCTCAATCTTCTAAGGTAGTGCTTTGCGTGAACTGCTACCCATATTAGGCCAGTTTCTGTTTATTATTTTTCGGATTAATATGCCATGCTAATAAGAAAATTGAT